TGGGCTGCATCAAAAGTGGTGTGACCAGCAGATTGAGGGGAGGTGGTTCTCCCTCTGTACTCTGCTGTCATGAGACCCCACCTGGAGTACTGCATCCAGCTCTGGGGTCCCCAGTACAAGACAGACATGGAGCTGTTGGAGCGAGACTGAGAGAGTTGGGGTTGTTCAGCCTGGAGAAAAGGCGGCTCCAGGGAGACCTTATTGCAGCCTTGCAGTACCTAAAGGGGCTTACAAAAAAGCTGGAGAAGGACTTTTTACAAGGACATGTAGTGATAGGACAAGGGGTAATGGCCTTAAGCTGGAGGAGGGTAGGTTTAGATTAGATATTAGGAAAAAAATTCTCTGTGAGGGTGATGAGGCACTGGAACAGGTTGCCCAGAGAAGCTGTGGATGCCCCATCCCTGGAAGTGTTCAAGGCCAGGCTGGCTGGGACTTTGGGCAACATGGTCTAGTGGAGGGTGTCCCTGCCCATGGCAGGGGGGTGGAATTAGATGATCTTTAAGGTCTCTGCCAACCCAAACCATTCTGTGATTCTGTGAATATCTTCCCTTTTTCATATTAAGGACAACAAATGTGGAAACAACAGAAGTGAGTGTGTGTGTGCACATGCATTTCAAAGGCCAGGGAGAAAAGGTGTTTGAAAATAACTCCCTCCGTGGTTGGTTTGGTTTTTGTTGTTGTTTCCCCCCTCTTGATTATTTAAGCTTAATGTATATATAAAGTGAACTTGATGAAATTCACACCCAAAAGTCATGAGAGGAACAAAACTTACTTGTAGTTTCTGGTAAGCTTGGCCCTAGCAACTTTCTGATAAGTAGACTGTAGCTGACCAGGAGTGTTACATCAAAGTCTATATTATAATTTATTGTGGTTGAGAAGAAGAGGGTAAGTTTCTAAATGGAGTTTTAAGAAAAGTGTTTAATTGATTCTGAAGTTGTGGCCAATTGCTATATTAACTGTTTCTAATAATAAACCCTTGAAATGGCCCTGAATCGTGGAGGATTTGGTTGCTGTTTACTTCAGACTTACAAGACAGCTTCTAGAGTTCTTTTTAGAAATTATCAAGAGTATCAGTTCTCTAAAATGAATTAAACTCAGCTAAGTTCAGTGTTGAGACTGATGTGTTATTTAACTGTGACTTGGTATTTATAGGGTACTTGTATTGCTTGGGTTTTAGTTCAGTTTCTTTAATGCTTTCCTTTGATCTTAAATGTTGAGTTAAGAAAAAAAGAAAAGTTATATTGTGGAATTTAGATTTTTTGAAGAAGAAAGGTGTATTTCGGAACAGAAGAGATAGTAGCATCACTTTGATTTTAAAAGTTGCTGCTTCCTCTGCATCCAAGTCCCTGGGCTTCATGTTTGCATCAGGTGAAGTTGCTAGTTCCTTGGCTTATACCCCACTGAAATGCTAATTAAAGATCTGTTTTGAGGATGGGGTGTTATTTTTAATTCAGACTGAGTCAATATTGATCACTCCCCCAAACTTATTTTCGGTGACTTGCTTGCTATAACTTTCTCGCTATTTGCTAAATCTGTTTCTAGAATAGTATCACACCTTTTTGTTCAATCAGTGTTCGATAGAAATACAAAATGGTTATTATGTTCAAATGGGTTTCTCCCGTTTGTTCCTTATTCTGTATCAGGAAAATTGTACTATTGTAGTTACAGAAACCTCTGTCCCTACCTAGTGCTGCCGTATGTCCAGCTTTCCCTAGACAGATTGAGTCTGAACTTCCAGGCAGGTGTCTAGAGTCCTCACATTTTTGTTGCTCGGTTTCTGGACATCCTGGTTGCCTCATCGATCACGTGCAGGTCGTTTTTAGCAGGGGTGCAGCATGGCTCTCACATCATCTGTTTGCTTGATCTTCTTGCTTTTATCTTTATTTGGATCTTTTCTGAATAGTACGTATCCTTCAGTGGTTGTACCCTACTTAGGACTGCTGTTCTGTGTTGTTTGTGCTTTTATAGTAATTGCAGCTTTGCATCTTGCACCAGGAGTTCAAGCCTGTTGCCTAAGTGGATAAAGCCCAGCCACTAGCTGTGTCCTATGCCTGGCTGTGGTTTTTACTAATATTAGCACTAATTTTTTCTTTGCTGTCCGTTCTTAATCTGCTGATTATTTTTTCATCTGTTTGCTGTGTCTTCTTGTGTACTAAAATGGGGTGTGACAATTAAATGACTCTATCCAGCTTCCCTTTGTTTCTCATTGCAAAGCTTTTCTTTCTTATGCCCGTGTTGATCTTGGCTGGTTCACAAATGTATGTGTGGGTTTTTTTTTATCATTTTCACTAATAACTTTCTAGTGTTTTATTATGACAATAAGGAGTCGTTTCCCCCACCCCCCAGTTTTGCTGCTTTTGAATTCAGCTTTCTTGTAAATACAGATTTTGCATTCTTTGATTTCCACTTCAGTAAATAATCTCAGAACAACCTTTTATAACTGTTTAATAACAAAAAAAGACATGATTTTATCCTACTATTACTACATTGAAGGGATAATCAAGCTAATTATGATGAATTTCTTTCAGTTTATAATTTAAGGAGATGTGCCTACTGACTTTAAATGCTTCCTGTTGAACTGAATAAGTGGCCAGAAGAACTTGAGTACAGTCCTAGACCTAAAACTAAGTATTTGGTATCTGCTTCCTTTTCTCTCTCTAAAGACTTTGTTGAAGGAACTTTGGTGGCTTGAGAAGGCTTCTATTTTAGCCAGTCGTTTTTTCTATCCCCTTGACTTTCTGTCCTCTCTCGAGCTCCCTCTGGCCAGCTAATGAGATGGAAAATTGAGCAGTGGCACAGAGTCCTTTCACATGGCTCTGGTTCCAGCTGCAGCATTGTCCTTTCCTTTAGGATTGGGCGGGTGGCTCCTTGGTTTTTAGGAGGCATCAGCATTACAAAAGCTTTATTTCAAGCCTTTGCCACGTTTCTGGTCTGTCTCCAAGCTGTTCTTTGCAGCTTCATGGCCGACAAGCTCATGTCTGTTTGGCCTCCGGTAGAACAGAAGATACTTTGCCATCAGAGTATTCCCTGTTTTTTTTCTGTTTGCCTATTTTTAATACACTTGCTGATTGCCATGTGAGTTCTGTATGACTGATAAAAAACATGCTATAGTTTATACTCACGCTGGTGGTATGTAACTTCCCCTCAAAAAGAGGTTGGTTGTGCTGCGTTGCAGTACTTGCTGGTCATTACTGTGCATTTGTGGCTTTGATCCTGGGTGGTAATTGATGGTGCACCCCCATCCATTTCCGTTGGTCTGGTGAGGTGCTGAAGAAGGCTGCACATTAAACAGCTTTCTGCTCACTTGGGTGATGATGATGCTAAGTTGAAAGACTGGCGAGGAGAAGGGAAGAAGCTAGAGGTATGGAGGAAGTGCTTAGGGCATGGCATTCAGCTGTGGTTTGCATGACACCTGAGGCTATGTATAACTTCATGGGAATAGTGCAGTTTTAGATAAATTGAACTGGACTCTCCGTGGAAAGGTGCAGGTGATCTCGATGCATGTAGCTCCTGCGGCATTGGCAGCACCTGCGTGGGGTCTCCCTGGGGGTGCAGCTGCCTGGTGAACGTGGCTGCAGTGATCCTTGTCCATGGAGAAAGCCAACACACAGTATGTTTTGTAATGCACCCCTGTTGTGATTGTTTTGCGTGGCAGATTCAGGGTTGACATATTAGTTAACATGTTTCTTCTGGGCAGCTGTAAGTTTAAAAAATGTGAGGGTAGAGGAGTGGGGAATTTTGATGCGTAGACAACAATCCTAGCGTTACTTCATCCAGGGGCAGTATTGCAAGGAAAAGCCCTTGGACATTTTGCAGTGACCTCCCTCTTCTTCCTTCCATGGCTTGGTCGGGTCCATGGGGCTGTACCTTTCTGAGAACAAGGTAACTACTCGTGGCCGAATGATAGCGAACCAAGTTCACTAACAAAGTTCACCAAGTTCACTAAGGGTGCAGCAAGTTGAAAGGGCTCTGGCTTGACTATGCACGCAGTGGGGAGGGAACCAGAGCTAGAATTACATACCAGGGCTTACACACTCTTGCTAGCGCTTCCTGCTTTCCGGCATGCATATCCTGGCACCGGCTTCCATTTTTCTCCTTTTCTCTCCCCCATCTTTGCTTCCCCACATCTGTGGTACTGGAATTAGTGCTGGGTGTTCAGGAAAAAATGTTGTGGCTCCAGGGTTGGGAGCCAGGCAATGCCATTTCCTATGTCCTCAGCTGGTCTGGCTCTGAGGCAAACCAAGGAACCTGTGTCTGTGGATATTATGGTTAGCAAAGGCTAGCCTATATATAGTTTGGTTGATGGCTTTAGGCAAGCTATGATAAACCATGATCTTTTTTGGAGATGAAGAATGAGAGGGATTACAGTGACAAGCTTTCAAAACCAACAATTAGTTTATGTTTTCAAAGTACGTCCACAAGTGGGGAGGTTGCAAAAACGCGTAATATTTTACAATCCTTAATGTAGAAATCTGTGGCTTTCTTTTCTTGTTCTTTCTGTTTTGTTTTGTTTTTAAATACATGGGACGCGATCTTGGGCTTCATTGTGTTTAGAAACTGCACATCATGTTGGACATGCAGCCTCTCAGGGAATGTGCTGATCTGTTGGCATATGTAAAACAGATAAAAAGCTTATGTGTCATTTGAGGGTATGAGGGATGTAGAGGAGCAAGCTTACCCAATAACATTTAATTTAAATCTGCGTGGTTGTTAAGAAGGGAATGTCAGATGACTCCACCACTGGACATACAGCTGTTTGTCTAAAGGTCTCAATCAATTAAGCTCTCTTTTGAACAGAGCTCTGTTTATGGATCAGCACTTCTTATGCAAGTGGGAGACAAGTAGCAACAGTAAACTTACGAGCATTTTTATTCATTGACCTGACAGATTTCTCCTGCGATAATTGTCTGAGCACTGTGGAGGCTTCTGCAACCTAACCACACACAGTGAGCATAGTGGGAGAAGACCTGAATGGCAGATCCTATTGCTTTCCAAGAGTGTATTTTCAAGCCTAGGGTTGGAGGCACTACAGGTGTGCTGCAGCACACAAAATATTAAAGCTATGAGGTTAGCTGCCCTTTCTCCTAAAACTGTTCATTTCCTTCCTAATGTGGGTAAGTAAAATCCTAATTGTAGGTGTCAGATTCTTGTTTAAAAGGCAAAACCTTCTAGATAGTAATGCGTACCGTGGTGCCTGCTTCACATACTCAATTGTTCTTGTTTTTCTCTTCTTTCTTGAAGCCAGATTTCTGGCATGGTTCTTATAGCACTAAGCTATGGATATCACTAGCAGCTCTGTTACCCTAGTTTTTGGCTTGCCTGTTTGAAGCTGTTGCTTCACAACAAATGAGGTGTTTCATCAGTAGTTCCTACTTCATGGGTTTGAGTGCTGAGATCCTGCATTGATGGAAGCAGCACAAAACCTGTCTAGAGCTTGGGCCAGCTTCTCTCACCTTCATGCCATGTAAGTTGAGCTAAAACAGCTGTAAGTAGCTTGGGTAGAAATTCTTCACGGGGAAAGTCTTACGAAAAGAGCCTCTGCTCCCCTCTCTCCCCTTGTGTTTTGGCATTTGTGGAGTGTGGAGGACAGGGTCAAATAAAGCAGAGCTACTACCTTTCTCTGACTGTTACTGATGTTTTTCCAGTAGCAGAAGTTTGAAAGAACACTTTCCACTATGGCAAAACAACATGTGGGTGTGATGCAGAATAACAGATTTTGTTCTATGCTCTCTCCTAGTTGCTGGCATTATTGTGAAGACACAACTTGATCTGGCTTTTCTTGATTTTGTTCCTCACCTTCAGTCCTGTCAGCTCAGCCGACAGATTTCACGGTCACCCTTCCCGCTCCTTGAGTACTGCTCAAAGTACTGACGGAGTAACATGCCATAGCTGTCGCTTCCCATTCTTCTCTGCAGGAAGAAGGAGCTTCCCTTGTCCTTCTTGGGTTGGTGGAGAGAGAGAGGACTGCATGGGACAGCATGGTGGTAGTTGTCAGACATATTAGAGGATGAAAAGTAATGCAAAATACGAGCATATAGAGAAGACTAAGAATCCAGTCTTGGAAGAAAATCCTTGTGTTGATGGGATACTCTGTAGTATTTGAATCTAGTATGCAGAAGTATGAGAGAGGCAAGAGAGAGATTTAAAGGGGGGGATGATAGTATTAACATGGTCAGCATCAACAGTTGGTCAGCATCATCAGCTGTAGCATCACCGTGGGAGTACCTGCATGACTCTTGACTGCCCCAGGGCAGTTAGCCCATGGAAACAAGAAAACGTTTCAGGCCGTCTGTACTTCAGGTCTTTCAAAGAGCGGCCAACATAGCAAAACGTCATACGTTGAACATCTCTGCTCTGCATTTGGAAGCTATTTCCTATCACCTTGTATCCTCAGGAAAAAGAAAGAGAAATTGCACACCCCTGTGCATGGGCTGCACTGCATGTTGTGATATTCTGGTACTGCCTTTTTCCACCAATTTCCATTAAGGGATCTGGACATTCGACAACCCTTTTTCTTAGTCAAGGTGTACGTCTCTACCTTAGACTTAGGAAACTTAACTTTCAGTCATCTTACACATAAGGTGATTGAAGGCTTATACAAGTTTTCTTCTGGCTGAGGAGGGACAGTGAAATTATTATGGTGGTCTGATTTAACAAAATCTGAATAAAGCTGAAAATCTGCTCTTTCATTACTTTTCCATTTACAGCTGTTGCCATATCACTGGACAAGTAGACTTGGGAATATATCTTGATGTGAGATATTGCAAGGAACACAGAAGAAAGCTGTACAGTTTGGTTTGCGTTCAGTTGGACATCCGTTCTTTTCTCTGGTCCTTAAAATACTTCTTGTGTATTGTGACACTTATTTCATCAAAACATTCTAATTTGTACTTTATTAACATTTTCATAGATATTCTGGAGTGTCATTACTGAAATGATTCAGCACTCTAAAGAGCCCTGATAAGCAGTGAGCGAGAAAACATTGCATCTGTTTTACCTACTGTTTTTTGGCTGCCTGTCCCTCAAACTTGTTTTTCTATGGAGTGAAATCTCTGCATGTTAGACTAATTACTGCACGACAGTTCCTTAACTCTTGAAAAGGCTTGGATGTCAGCTATGCAAAAGTAATGAGACGTGCAGTGATGTAGCCAAGGGTCCAAATATCTATTATGCACATGCAGTTGAAATGACAATATAAAATGAACATGGTGCTAATTGTTGTCTCTGTAGCAAGTCACGGATTAGGGTTCCCCCCACACTGGTTACTTTAAAAGTTGTGGTGAACAGTATTAATGGGCATCAATGGTCCAGGGACCTTAAATCTGTTGCCAAATGATAATTGCTCTTTGCCACATGTATTTGCTTACACCTGTGCAAGGGTCAGCCAAAGTGGTACCAGGTGAGTTAAATCCATTAACTATTTCCTTTTTCCTGTTGTTGTTGGGGCCTGACTTCAAAATTGCTGGAAACTTTGTTGTTGCCATAATTCACAGAGGAATTGGCTGTTTGTTCTTAAAAATTTTCTTCCTTAGGAGGAGGTCTGCTTCAGCTTACGCTTTGCCCTCTCAGATTACAGAACGATCTCTTCCAGCGCTGAGCCGTGCAAGTACAAGCTTCCCTTCTAATTGCATAAGAATAACCAGATTTGTGTACATTTCCCGCTTTCTCTTTTTTTTTTTTTTTCTTTTAAAGCCTGAGACTGCAGCTGTGCTGAAGCGCACTGTTGAGGCTCTTATGGAGAGAGGAGCTGTGGTGAGGAACCTGGAAAACCTGGGAGAAAGGTCTCTACCTTACAAAATCTCTAAGCACAAGGAGCGCCACAGAAGAGGAGGGTATGCACGATGCTTTTTTCCTTAAAATCCTTTAAGTGCTCCTTTAAAACGTACATAAGTAAGTCTCACTGTTTGGTCTTCCTTGTGCTTTTTGGGAGTACACCTGTAATGTCTGTGATCTCAGTAAGGAGTTGGGTGGCTGTTTGTGCGTGCGTGTGTTCTGCTTCAAGTGTTTAGCGTCTTTTATTCTGTGTGGCATTGGCTTTTTGTTAGCATTTAGTCATCATGTTACCAGTAGCCTGAGTCCAGGCCTGCAGAATTACTTTCCCCAACGTACACAATGTTATTTTGTTATGTCATTTTTACGTAACTATTTGCCAAGCCAGTCAGGCTGTTTACTGATAAAAGTCATACTGAATCTGCTTGCTGGTTGCTAATTGGCAGGATTGATTCTTTTTCTCTAATGCATCTGAACTAAGTGTTAATTACCATGTGTACCCTGGAAGACTTGCTTGTGTTTCTGCTAGAGTTTTTGTTAAGGATGTTAAAGATGACCACGTGGTTTACGGGAAGTACGATAAATGTAAATGAAGTTGTGAGCTGGCATCTGGGATGTTGGGCTTCCCCCGCAGCGCAGGTGGAAGGTGCTGTGGATCGCACCCCCTGCTCGACGCCGCCGGTGTGTTGCTGCTCCTTGAGGCTACCTCCGAAATGGATGCTGGCTCTCCCAAGGACTGAGGAATGTTGCTAGGCAACCCGCTCTCTGCTGGGGCTGCCTGCGGAAATCAAAATAACAGTTAGCCACGCACTCCTCCTAATCCCCGTAATCGGCTGGTTGGCCGCTCTGCCTACCCACCGTCTTCCTTGAGGGGCGTTTGGCACCAGGCAAGGCGAGGTGACTCCAGAGGTGCACCTTTGATGAAGCCCTTCTTGGATCATCTTCCTAGGGGTGACGCAGGGTTTCACTCCCTCTTCTGAGGACCTCTTCGTTCTCCGGCGAAGTGGGAGTGGTGACAGCTGCCAGTTAAAGCAGACTGACAGAAAGGGTAGGGGAGGAAATCTCCACCACGGGCCTGTTGCTTAACCGAAAGCAATGGCGTCGTGGCCATGACTGTCTTTCACTCCTGCTCCGTTGTGTCCTTCAAAACATGGCTTGATCCTGCCAGTTTTGGATTTTAGGATGAAGCCTTGTCAGCTACGCACAGGAGCTAATCAAAGCCTTGTCTCAAGACAGAATTACTAATTACCTTATCCTTCTGTTGGTTTAGAAGCATTTTATAAACATTACAGTCTTTTCTGACAGCTTCAGCAGAACAAGGAGCTGGCATTACTCTCCCTGTACAGGTGGGGAGCTAAGGCAGAGGGACTAAGTTCTGCTAATTTTGGATGCTGAAGTTGAGACTTTTAGCTTCTAGATATTTTTTTTCCCCCCTAGAGCACTTAGCACTCTCTAACATTTCAGCACTTCAGATGACAGTTTCCACTCGGCTTGGGTGGCAGTACTTCTACAGATCAGGTCTTGGGTTCTTCAACGGGGAAACCAGGACAGGAGAAGATGGTAACCAGCATCACAAGGGCTACGTAGCAGTGATGAATAGAAGCCATTTCTCCAGGGAGTCTTTCAGATGTGTAAACTAGCTTAACTCATTCACTGTAGCAGATTACCTACTTAATAAGCAGGACGAGGGGATCTGTAGACTATAACCCTCTTCTTTGCAGAGACCTCAGAGCAGACATATTTTGTGTTCTGAATGAGGCAAGGTTTTAGTAGCATATAATTGCGATCGTGTCTTGAAACACGGGCAGGAAGCCATCAGATTAATGTCACCATCGCTGTTCCTCCTCCACCTCCTGGTTCAAGTGACTCTAAATATTTAGCAGTTGTTCTGCTTGCCCTTGATTTGGATCCTCTGTATTTGAATATGACAGTTCCCTCCCCGAAATTGCTTGGCTTCTTGAAAGGGAGAAGTGATTGAGAGAGGGTACTACAGGAAATAGTTATTTTGTGTGCTTTTAATTGGAGAACTCAAATTCAGGAGACACGAGGTATTACAAGGGGAAGCAGCAGGCAGTTTCAGTACCTGGTAATGTGGGAGAATTGTATTTCTGTAGATTTTTCTGGGGAGATTGCAGTCCAGTGTACGGGTATGGTAGATTCTTGGTATACTATCCAATATTTTATGTGATCTGGAGAATAAGTTACTCGGCATATTAAACATAATCTAGGAATAGGAAGTGAAAAGTCAGTTCTTGGTCCACCTTATAAAATCAGTCGGTTCTACTTTACAGTATCTGTAAAAAGTAATAATATTTTTTAACAGGACTAAGTTAAAAAGAAAAAAAAAGGCTTTTCAAGATACCTCACTAAGCTGGATATACACCTCTACTTATTAAGAAATCCCAAGGTCTTTTCTCCTTCATAGCCAATTTTTAATTCTATGTTCCTTTTCTAAGAAAGCTGGTGTAGAGTGATGTGGTAAGTAGTACAGAGTGTGTCACCTTTTCCTTAGTCAGGGCTTTTTCTGAAGTATCTGAAAGGGCTTCTGTGAGAGTGCAAATGATGCTGTGTGTTGAGGGGAGGAGAGTGGTAAGTCTTTCAAAGCTTTTCATTTTGGGTTTTTTTTTTGTTTGCTTTTAAAAAAATTATTTTGGTTTATTTTTTAATTTTGTGAATCTTAGCAGAGCTTCAACTAGTTTATTTTCCAATAGTATGTAGATGGTTGGAGACTTAGGTTGTACGCTGAATCCGTTACTTCCTTGGGCCTCTTGGCTGGTGAATTATAATGAAAATTAGTGGAACACAATATTCATAGCAACAAATTGTATGAAAATTAGTGCAATACAATAGTTGTAGCCTGGGTCACAGGTTACTAGTGTGTCTCCTAGAGACAGCTCTTGTCCTAGTGACCGCTGCACGAACTGTCTTCCTGTCACTCAGAACAACGGCATGGAATCCCTCCACCTGCGTGGGGTGTTTGCCCTAATAAATAAATAATTCTGGTTATTCATAATAAATAAAACCACAAGAAACCAAACCAAAGCTGTCTTCCTCAGCAGCAGAGTGAGCCTAGCTTTGCTGCCTTATGAAATTCCCGGTGCTACCCAAGCTGTGTCTATTAAGCTGAAATCGAGGGCCATCAGTAGGGCAGCACCAGCTATTCGCAGGTTGACTGAGACGTGCTCTGCGGCATCCCTAGCAGTCATCCTTCTCCCAGACTTTTGCTGTGTGTTTTCTTCATTTAGATAATTCCATTTTTAACTGCAATGTAAGTCTTTATTATGGCATAAAACTGAGTGATTGACAGCGAAAGGACACACGTGGGATGTGCACGGCAAAGCTACTGCTGGACTTAGCCAGGTTTTGGTAGTGTCTTTAGTGAAGAACAGTGAAGAATTAAACTGGAAAATACATATTCATGGGACAATAGGGAGGATAGCTGTCTCCTTAATAAAGCGCTTTTCCCCCTCTGAGTTCTGTAGTTCTTTGGCATCATCTGTCTCGGATATACTGCGTTACAGGCGCATTACAAATTTAAGAATATCCAGGAGACTTTACGGAGAATGAGAATTTTACTGCCAATTGATCTGTACAGCTGAGATTTTTCAAAGCCTGCCATAGGGGATTGTGGCCCACAGCTGTCACCAGAATGAGCAGTTTTACTCTCCCAGGCAGCTTTGAAGACCTCAGATCATACATATAATTGACTTGTTTCTTCTCAGGAAATGATATTCACTGAGCAGGTGGTGCATGTGCATTGAGGGTATATTAAAACAAATTTAGGTCTTTCTCTTAAATGCATCTCTCTTGGCAGAAAACACCCTCCTTTTATAGAGACCCAATATTGACAGCTTTTGCATTTAAGTAATTATGAAAATAGTATGTTTCAGGAACTGTGTGGATATGTCTGAAGAATCAAACTTTTAAATCCCTGGTTTACTGATATTTTAAACTGAAGTTGAATTAGCTACCATTTCACATTTATGGTATTAATTGCCACAGTAGAACATCAATACTTTGGTTTTACAGTATTTAAGAACGTGATTCAAATAACATCTCACAAAATTGTAACAAATACTGTTTACCTTAGAGATGAATAAAATGTGACAAGGATGCATTGGCTCCAGTGTGGGTTAGGTCTGTAAATTTAGCTGAGGCACTAAGCCTGAGTGATTTGCCCATGGCCACTGTCTCTGAAAAAGCAGTGGAAGAATGTAAATAAAGATTCCCAACTTTATCTCCTAATGGGCAATAGATTTGTGCCAAATGTTTGTTCTACTAGCCACTACTTGTTTAGAATTTTTAACAAGTTGTATTTAAATTGCTTTTACCCTGGTGTATTTTTTTAATATTTTATTAAATGTGTCAGGAGGTGCTTATTTATGGAACAAACAAAAGTGAACTGATTTAAATAAGGTGTGTACTAGTATTTGAAGTCAAGGAAGGTTAAACTCTGGATTTGTTGGCTGTTTAAGATGATACAGAAGCATCGAATCCCTCAAAGCAGCTTTCAAACAAAGGGTCCAGGCTGGGGCTGGATGATGACATTGCAGGGCCGTTGCTGCATATTTAGTCAGCGCCAAACTGGAGAATATTGCAACTGCTTGTAAAATGGTAGATGGCAGTAGCACAGCCTGTGGGTTTGCACTTTGTGGCATACCTGTTTTCTTTGACCTTGCCAGGCTATGCCTTAATCATGTGCTTGTGACACTTCATGCTTCAGGGCATCAGATAAAGGAGGTGGCTTGGGGGACGTGGTTGGTATGTAGGATATTTTTACTTTAGGGGAGATGGTACAAGGGTGGCTGCAAAACAGATCTTTAAATAAATAAGGTTCAGGCACTCCTTTGGGAAGGTAATGGCTCAAACCTTTTGCAGACCAGGAATTTATCCATCTGGAAGGAGCCATGACAAGGGCTTTGGGGAGAAGAAAGTGGCCAGGTGTAACTGGGTTTTGCATACTGGATATCTTGCTGTCTTCTAGAGATTTGTTATTAGTGGTTTCATTTCCTCCCCAAATGTTGCTTCCATTCTTATTTTTGTTATCTCTGTGGTAGAAAAG